ACTCGCTGACCTCCCCCGAGTATGCAGCCAACCTGCTCTTCTCCAGGCTGCACTGGGGGTTCAGGACGGTTTGACTCCCCTGGCCCTCCGAGCTGGATGCCGTCATCCCTACGTCATGAGTGGAACTCTCAGAGGCCTCGGTGGCAGCTTCGGTAGGACGAGCCCCGACAGTAGCCCCTGCAGCACAAGCCTCGGCAACGCTCTCAGCAGCAGTCTCAATGGGCTTGGCAGCGGGTTCGGTGGGCCTAACGGCTGCCTCCGCTGCCGCCCGGGCCCCTGAGGCACCGCCCCTCTTTCCGAGTCGATGATAGGCTTCGCTACCACCTCGGGCCCCGGAGCTGAAGTCTGTGGAGGTTGAGCCCCGGCTGGAGCTTGCGGGGATTCAACGCGCGCCTTCTTGGCTACGCGTTTCTTTCTCTTCATCTGGCGGAAGAACTTCTGGTTATCTATTCTCTCCACCTCCATGGGACCTACAGCAAGACACGGCATTCGCAATCCGAAGTAAACATACGTGCAAAGGACCAAAGTAAAGCGAAACCTACTCGAGCTCAAGTCGGCTTGGACAAGCTTCTCTTCGGATGTGAAGTCTTTATAAATCAACCCGAGTTGAGTCAGTGACTGAAGCACCTTCTTGGTCTTCCCGTCTAGGATGACACCGAGGTCTTGAATGGCCATCCTCCAATTAGTGGGGAAGGGCCACCCCGTGGTACTCTGAACTACGAAGTAGTCCCGCTTCCAAGTTGGGACATTACTCAGGAGCTTGTGCATGAGTTTGAAACCCGGGCAGGGGGACAAGTAGTAGGACCGCCTGTGCCCGGGGAGAGCGCCCGAAGCACTCCTCTTTATGGCCAAAATTGTGCTAAGAATATCTAAATCTATGGAGAGAGAACGGTAAAAGCAAAGAGAGATGGACCCCACCACATTCCGTATGGAGTTTGGGTGGAGTTGGTCCAGGGTGATGTTAAAGTGTATCAACACCTCAACGATCAAAGGATGAAGAGGAAGTCGAAGCCCGACTACCAGTTGCTCCCTGAAGATCACGATCTCGTCAGGACCGTGCTCCCATGAAAAGTTGCTGGTGGGAAGGCTATATAAGTATTCCTTGGGGAGGTGGAACCTCTGTATGAGGTCCTGAATCCTCTCAGAAGTCATTATAGAAGGGCTGAATTGATCTGGCTCCTGACCTCGGTGGGAGGTGGACACCAAATGACCCGAAGCCACCCGTACTTCGGATGGCTGAGCAGCAGAGGAGCCACCCTGAGGTACCCACCTCGGGCTCGTCGATAAGGCTGTCTACACTAGATGACATAGTGAACTAAAGGGAAGAAACAAATTGAAAGGGGAAAGGAAGCTCGGGAGGACTCACCAAAAGAGATGCAACCGGACTGGGAGAACAGGACGAACTGGAAGACCCAAGCTAAGAGACCTTCAACGCGAGCTCAAACACTAATGACGAGAGCTTTGTGGAGAAGAAAATGGCCAAGGGTCCCCCTATTTATAGCCACAGCTGCGGGTTCCTCGAGGCGAAAACAGTTTGGCGCGTTTTTTACGTCCGCGAAGTCCAAATCGTGTGAGATCCATGCGTAATCCAGACGCGATGAGTCTTTTTTGATCAAACCGGGCACTAGACCGGTCCAGCTGGACGAAGCGCGCGACAAAGCGGCATGAATACCGGCGCGTCATGACCTCCCCGCGTTGGGTCATCGCCGCCAGCGTAGGGAGTAGGGGGCAATTGATGGAGGGTGATTTGGTCCGACCTCGCAGCACAGGTACACGTGGGCGTGACCTTGCTTAAACAGTGACTCAGCGTGACAGCACAACTGACATGACCACAACTCAGAGGGAAGGTCCCGCCGAATTCAGCTCGGCAACTGGGCGGATAAACCACTCGCCGGAAGCCGCCTTACCCGCACCTCCTCCCCGGGGTCAAGGCACTTCGGGGTGCCCCGAGTTCGGGGCTTCCTGACCTCTCTTGAGGCCCGAGCTCCTCCCAATGGACCTCGGGCCACTCCCAGAAAAGAACGCACCAATCCATCTCTGGACACCCCGAGGCATAGACACCTTGGGTCAGCAAGCTCGGCATAACTTGCTACAGGCAGCTCGCCACTCAAGAGACAGCCCGGCGCACGGTAATTCGCGAAAGGGTAGTTCGGCGTACCACCGAAAGATCTCCTGCCCGACAACCGTACCCGGCAAATCTGGGGACAGCAGCCGTGTCCCTCGTCAGACATCGTCGCACCTGCCACCTTCACAAGGTGCCTTACACCTAACAGACACGTACCCTGCGACGACGGCCCCGCGCGTGCCACCTCAGCCTTACCTGTAACGGCTGTGGCAGACTGACAGTGGCGGTTATACCTGCCCTGTCAAGATCCAGAGGGCTTGATGCGACGGAATTCTGTTATAAGGGGCTTATTCTCAAGAAACAAAGTATCTTGGAATCACCTGCGCAATCTGCACTCTTAGCCTTCGTTTTCCCTTTGCTTCTCGCACAGAAAACTGACTTAATCATCGGAGTATTCCCGCCGGGCAAACCCCCCGGGAGTTCTTCTTCTTTCTTCTCGTATCAGATACCTCTCAGGAGTCACGCGAGTGACAGATAGGAATGACCGGACCGCGCTACATCAGACGTAAATAGAGTTTTTGTGCAAATTAGATTCAATGAGTGCAATACCCATTTGAACAATCATTATAGCCTTTTATTAGAAACATCTCTCCATATAGGAAGATGTTCCCGATATAAGACTGTTTAAACGGTGTTTGAAGAAGACTTGCACTACTGAAGCCGATCTCGTTTTTGTGGGCAGGAGATCCGGAGTCCGTTGGAACTTGGGATTGGCCACATTGTGATGGGTCAAACCTTCTAGAGAAGGAAACCTGTTGGCCCACTTAGGGTTACTTTTCTTCTTACGGAAATGACATCTGCCTCTGACTTGATTAGCCACAAAGCACAAAGCAAATGGTACATGCATGCCAAATTGCCAATCACAAGAGGAGGGTAGCCTATCGTGGCCTCGTCCATACCAATAAAACAATARCCGCCCCCTCRAGTCTCAAGTCTCAATCTTGGTGAAGGCAAGTTTGGGTCTCTGTTAAAAATTTAAAACCGAATCCAGATTTGCTCCTCCGTCCTCAACTTCACAGCACTAGGGGTGTTTATCGCCGGTTTAGTAAGATTTGGAGAAGATTTCATATCAAATCAATAAATTACAGTTCGAAAAATTCTCAGATTAAATGAAGCTGTTTTGATATAAAAACCAAATTAGACCATACCGTTTTATTATGGTTTGGTGCAATTTTTAAATGATATGAGAATTTTGGGCCATTCTATGATTTTAATGAACTTAATCCCATTAAAAAGTCCAAACTACACTTCAACAAAGTTAAAAGTTAAAACTTTTATATTTATTATTTTATTATAAAATTAAAGAGTTTAGTATATAGTTATAATGTTATACATTAAATTATAATTTTAATTTAATTTATAAAATCCAAAAAATCAAACCGACGTAAACCGCAAATTCAAAAAACATCAAATCAAACTATATCATTTTTAAGTATGAACCATACAATAAACATCCCTACACAGCACTTGCAGTGTTACATCCAAAACATCTCCCTTACAAATCCGGATTTGCTCTCGCAGCATTTCCCACCGTGCAGTGAAAACGTCTCCATAAATGAGCGGCTGGGAATAGCCTGGGATGTACAATGAGGTTGGTGTAACTCTGTGAAGAGCAGATCTGGATCCCAATGCACGGCTATACTATAACGTCCTGTGAGAGTTTGGTGTGAGCAACGTGTCTGTTATGAACAAATTCAAGATAGTTGAAAACGAAAATCTGCCAAAAGCCTTGCCAATTTATCAATTGGCTCCTTCACCCCGCAGTTGAGTTGCTTGTTGTAAGGTCTATATCACTCCGACAGTGCAAACACGCGATCAAAAGTTCAAAACCCCAACTGTATGGCAATTTCATTTCTATGATGCCCAAAGCATAAAAATCAATATAATATTCTAGCCCATGCTACAAAACGATCACTCAAAGCCCAAGCTCAACCCATAGTTTCTGTCTGACTAATAACCCACTGAACACCTTCACCGTCGTGGGCTTTTAGGTTTTATTACCCGTCAAAAATCCCTTGGGTCTCAGTTTCAGTTCCACTTTCACCACTGCTCCTTCACCAATGTGGGCTTGGTCTTAGGCAGTAGGGCCACAGTTATAACGGTCAAGGTTCCCCACCCGACCAGCAAGATTAATACAGCGGTCCAAATCGGGAGATGTTCAACAAATTCAGAATGGGAATTGCTTACTGATAAGTGAAGGCAACTAGCCCTAATATTGAAAGCATCGACACACAGACACACTCTCTCTCTCTCGTGTCGATGCTTTCTTGATTGAAGCACGGCTGATTGAATGCACTTATGTGGCTTCTCTTCCCTTCATGCCTCCCGACTCGAAAAAACTTTCAATTCCCGGAAAGATTCCGACTGAAAAAAAAATGCAAACTGTATTCGCCTCTTGGGTATTTCTTAACCGCTGCTCTTCTTCGACTATGACCCAGAAGTCTTGAAGAGGACTGCTTGAGCATCTACATCTAGTTTCTCTGTCGAAATTACGATCCATGAATCATAGGTGGGTCGGAGGCGGGCCTATGGCTCCGATTACCAATAGTGGCTGGGGCAGAGGGAAAACTGAAAGAAGCCCGCGAGTTTCTCAAGGAAATGGACTTGACCTGTATTTCTTTTGATAATTATTCTCATCAGTACATGTGCAAAAATGAACAAAGGCTTGAGCCTTTTATGTGAGATTGTAAAATTATAAATATTAATTGAATGGATTTCGGCCTTAAGCCGTCGCAAAATAATAATAAAGAACAGGAAGGCTTCACGCCTCATTGATTTTTTCATGGCTGAAACATTTTTCTCTTCTCTTTTCTCACCAAATCTAGTATCGTTTTAGTTCAGTAATATTATGAGCAAAAGAAAGACGTGCACGACGTATGATGCAGAAGACTTCATATATAATAAAGGGTCAACATTTTAGTAACTACTAGGTACTAGCAATAGCATTAGCAAGAACAACATACAGAGGAGTCTACTCATATCTCCGATTCCCATGCAAGTAGAAAGTATTGGCCTCGCACTCTGCTAAATCTGATCTGGTCTAGGGAATCCAAGATGCTTAAAGCAAGTGAAGCCTCCGTCTACCACCAGATTATGACCTGTAACATATTTTGCGTCGTCGGATGCCAAATGCACGGCGGCCCGAGCAACATCTATTTCCTCGCACCTTGCCCCATGCAACTCCCCTAATCCATCTATCATCTTCCTTATCCATTCATCTCCTATGCCCGGATAGGATGCCACCAGCCTGTCCACCACCAGGGGCGTGGGAACCACAAATGGCGATACGCAGTTGATGCGGACCCCATGCTTGCATAGCTCGCTGGCAGCAGACTTCACGATCCCAGCTATTGCAAACTTGGACGCCGTATAGGGGTGCGGCCCAAGCCCACCCAAGAGCCCACTAATGCTTGACGTGCAGAGTATGGAGCCCCTTTTCAAGGGCACCATTACCCTGGCCGCGTGTTTAATTCCGGCGACGGTGCCACGTACATTGACTCGCATGACACGATCGAATTCCTCCAGGTTAAGGTTGGCAATGCCTGGAGGAGTCAATGCACCGGGAATTCCAGCGTTGTTGTACATTATATCTAGCTTACCGTAATGTGCTACCGCGAAGTCTACGGCTTCTGCTACCTGAGACTCGTTAACAACGTCACAGTGAACGAAGTGAGCCTGTGGGCCGAGATCTGTAGCCAATTGTGGGCCGACTTCCGCATTGATGTCAGCGATTATGACCTTAGCTCCTTCTTGGATGAACTCTTGGGCCGTCGCCTTGCCAAGCCCACTTGCACCGCCTGTGATCAAGGCGACCTTACCTTCCAACCTGAGACTATTGAGATGTGAGTTCTAGTAATAATGTGAGCGTTGTCCTTGTTCCGCCACTTGATCAGAATTGATGGTAAAGAGTAAAGAGTAAAGAGTAAAGACGATGGATCCGAAGTCGTTCCATCAAGACCAACAGGATGCATGATTACTCCGAGTGCTGTTATTCGAAACCTAGATAGCACAGATCTTAGATCTTGGAGACTATAGAACCGACATTGACGTATCTAAATCAGCCATATGTTTCTGATGATCAGTTGTGCAGTCGACTACCTTGGGACTGAAAAAGATAGTACCAAAGGAATCACCAAGGCCATCGATCCCGACTGCTTTTTTATTTTAATTTTTATGTACTTATTTCGATTTATCAACTACGTATACGCGAAAAATACCAAATGATTTTCCATGCACGGAGTTGTACAAATGAAAATGAGAAATGATCCTCAAAAACAGTGAAGGCTCGAGATCCACAGAGAGAGAAGACAGGAACAGGATTATCGAGAAAAGAGAAAGATCAAGCTAATAAGATAAAAAGCTAATATCTCTAAAGTCGTAAACTGAAATTATGAAGCTGAATACGAAAAAGTAATTCAAAAGAAAACGTACCGTCCAGTCGGTGCGTTGGAAGAAGCGAATCCGAGACGGTTGTGGAAGGAATGCGCAGCGCTCCCTTTCAAATGTCCCAAGAAATGTCCTCTGCTTTTCAGGACAAAACACACGGATTATTTACGGTTTTGTTCATGAATAAATAAATCGAAGGAGGAAGATTTGGTGGGAAGAACTGGTGAAAACAAGAAAGATACGTAGAAGAGATTGCTCGAGAAACAGGAAGAAAAAGATGAAGTAAGGCTACAAGGAATGCACAGACCTGGTAACCGATCTTAACATCTCTCCTGTGAAAAGTATGAATATTCCAGGCTAGAGAGACTGAGAGAGGGAGATTATCTTGGTATTTCTTGTTTTGTTTTACTGTGAAATGTGAAGTATTCTGGAGCTCCGGCGAGATTTTGAGAGTGATAAACGGAGAAAGTGAGTGGACGTGATTTGAAGAGTAGTACTTATTACTTTATTTATTTATGGAATCTACACTGGAAAGTGGAGATGGTAATAAATATTTTCTCTCTCTCATTGCTTGTCTTTTGACACGCATTCCTACGAAGAGAGGGAGAGAGGGAGGGTAGAATGGGACAGACGACCAAAGCATGCTAATGCAGGGGGCCTGGCGGGACAGGCGCTGGCCTCTAAAGGTGAAGCAAATAGCAATAAATAACCCCCTCCTTTTTCATTTCTTTTTTTTCCTTCTCGCTTAACTTTTTGTCTAAAACATCATTATAAATATCTTCTGCAAATCGCGAGCGGAAAATAGAACTGAGCGAGCCAGTCGAAAATAGTCAAAAGACAACCCAAGAAAATTTTTGTAGTTTATACATACATCATCGAAATCGAATCGGTATCACCTGGTTAATTAATTCATCGGTTTTGATTTTTAACCGGTTCGATTCTTTGATTTTTTATATTTATGATATATACTATATAAATATATATAATATAATATTATAAATAATAAGTGATATATAATATATTATAAATATTATAAAAATATATAATAAATACATTATTATAAATCTAATACATAAATATATAATATATAGAAAATATGTGATATATTAAAAAAATATAAAATATACATATAAATATATATATATTGATCGATTTAATTAATTATCCGTTTTATTTTTTTATAGATTAACTGAAAACTGAACCAATCCTTTGATTTTTCAAAAATACCAAACTGGAATCGAACTCATCGATTGAATTAACTGCATTTTCCGATTCCGTTAGATTTTTTGATTTTTCATGGACACTCGTTGTTCAAATACTCTACCGGAACTGGAGTGGTCTTCCAGTAATCCAATCATTATACTCCACGTTAGTCTGATCCCAGGGCGTCTTTTTTCCCTTTTCTGCGTAGAAATCCCCGTACGTATATGGGTTCACGAAGATCCAGTAATTGGCGCAGTTACGAGTACAACTGTAGGCCTTACGCTCCGTGCAGTCATCTGTACTATATCCATATATAGGGGCGTAAAACAGATCAAATTGCTATCCGATTATAAAATTTAAAATCCGAATTTTATTCATATGCGACGGATATTGAAAATCAATCATGGAATTTGAATTCTATTAAATATTTAAATATTGAATTTAATTCAAATTTGATCAATTAATTATTTTAGATGATTAATAAATATTTTATTTATATAAAGTATATAGATATATACATTATTATATAATTAAATATTATATATATTAAATATATGTGATAATTGTACAAAATCCATCATCACTTTTTATGAATTCTCTTAAATTCACCACAAGTTTTCAAAACGTCCAAAACTTAGCATGTCATATGAGTTTTATTTTCCAAAACTCACCTTCCATTAGTGCACCGTTAATATTTCTTAACATAAATGGCCATGTCAACATAAATAACACTTTTCATGACCAAATTATCCTTGCATGGCGAATTAGGGAAAATGGTCATTTAGGTTAGGGTTAGACCGAAATTCTCTCTCTCTCTCTCTCTCTCTCTCTCTCTCTCTCTGGTATGCCTCTCTCGCTCAGATCTTGAAGGTAGTCACTTCATCACCCTCTCTCTCGCTCAAATTTGGTAGCCGCACCACCTTCTCTCGCTTAGATCTTGAAGGTAATCACTACATCACCCTCTCTCTCTCTCTCTCTCGCTCAAATCGGGCCACCGAACCACCTTCTCTCGCTTAGATCTTGAAGGTAGTCATTGCATCACTCTCTCTCTTGCTCAGATCTAATCGTCGCCGCACCACACTCTTCGGATCTTGTTGTCACCGTAGCACCTTCTCTCTCACTTAGATCTTGAATAAGATGATCTACTGGTTTGAAGATTTGAAAGAAGACAATCATAAATTTCAAAGATTTTTGATGTTTTGAAGCATTTATGCAAAAAAAAAATATTTTTGTAATTGTTTATCTGATTGTCTGAAAATATTTTTGAAATTTTGTTGCAACAATCTTCAGATTCAATGTCTAATTTTTGTTTATTTTTTGAAAAAAATTATCATTTTATTAGTTTGTTTGTAATTTTTTATTTTTTCTGAAATATATAATTAAAAATCTTTTTTTTTCTTTTTTAGTTGATATTTTTAAATAATTATAATTTTATGTATTTTTGTGTAGGTTTTTATTATCTTTTTGAAAATTTTATCACTTTCTTGTATTTTTTTACAAATTTTTACTTTTTCTATAATATATAATTTTTGAATTTTTATCATTTTATGTATATTTGCAAATTCTCTTTTTATCCAATCTTTATATTTTTCAAGTTTCTTTTGTCTTTTTTACTTTTTAATTTTCTTTTTTTTTTGCATTTTTAGTGTTCTGTTATAATTTCCAATGTTTTTTTTTCTAACTTCTGTTTTTTACATTTTTCTATTTTCTACAATCTATAATTTTTCTGTATTTTTTGTTATTTATTTGCAATTCCTGTGTTTTTCTATAATTTTAGGTGTTTTTCTACATTTTTTTATTTTCTGATTTTGTTTTTAATTTCTATAGTTTTTTTTTGTAATTTCTGTGTTTTTGTGTATTTTATATTTGAAAATATTTTTTTGAACATTTTCCTTTTTTCATGTTTTGTAGTTAAAATATTAAAAAAGTGATGGTGGGTTTTGGACAATTTCCCTTAAATATTTTATATATTATATATAAAAATTAAATAATTTATTTAATATGAATATTTATTCAATTGAATCAAGTGATATCTGAATTATCTCATTTATGATGTTCTAATTATTCAAATTAACAATCAAATCTCAAATTCAAAATTGAATTTTCTAATACTGTTGACCCCTTTATCCATATACTTGTCTTAATTTTTTATGCTGAAGTTAAATTTGATATTATATTTTTAATTTATAATTTTGCTTTGATGTTTTACTCACTATATGTATAGCTAATATTTGCACATGTATTGCTATAGTCGGCTATTTAGAAGTCTTACAACCCACGTTTTTGTTGGAAAAAGATCTAGCCACCAAAAGATGATGCCCTGAAAAAGATGGGTGAAACCCGTTTTGGGCTCTTTTCGGAAAGCTCCAAATAGAGATGTTCGAATTTTTTCATCACGTCTTCACACGGAAAGATGTGCAGAAAGACACGCCTTAATCAAGTGGTCTTTATGCTACTAAGATCTTGATACAAAAGTTCATTCGTCTTTTGGCTGTCATGTCTACTTAAAGATCTTTCAAAAAAAAAACTTGCCAAACAGTACCTTAATAAAGTAAAATTCAAATACCATGTATCATATATTTTAATACTTACTTCTACATGTGCATAGCATTGTCTCTTAAGTTTTAACTAGTTTTGATAATTTCTTTTTTTCTATAGAGTAATAGCAAACAAAAGGAATCCTCTTATCTTTTTTTTTTTTTTTTTAAGCCTGATAATGCTATTTCATAAACTAGAGCTCAGAGAGCACTAGAGGGCAATCGACATCAATACAACCAAAGAACATCTATAACCAAAATTAGCCAAGATATGGCTTACCCGATTAGTGCTCCTAGAAACAAAACTTTCTGAATCGAGAGGGAACTATGAAGAAGAGCTCTGCAATCGGCGATCGTATGTTGAATACGCCAAAGAAGATGAGACGACGTCTCCAACAGAGCCTAAATCACAGCCAAAACATCCCCCTCAAAATAAACTAAGGAAAGCCCAATCTCCAGACAGAATTAAACACCTTTCAACAAGGCACAAGCTTCGGATTCCAAATCCATTATTATTAGACAAGAGCTTTTGAAGATGTCCAACTGCCGAGAAACTCCTGCCACCTTGACAGTTCCACGCTATGACTCTCATGTTTGCTGGGGGCAAATTAAGGTTCACCCCTATAGCTTCTAAAAAAATGTTTGTGGTAATGTGAAATTCGTTCAATGATTTCTGTAACTTTGTTCTTTTTTAGGCCCCATTTACTTTTTGGTAAGTTACTTATTCAGGTAAATGTAGTTATCTGTGTAAGTTTTTTAAGAAAAACACTTACATGGGTAAGTGCATTTACCCATGTTCTTTTATTTCTCATGTCAATAAGGCAATAATCATTTTATCCATAAAAATCCATTATTAAAACGGGTATTTTTTGTCCCATTTAAGTATTGACAATTTTCTTCCTAGGTGAAAAAGTTATTTATCCATCTAGATATGGGTATTACTTTCAAGAAAATAAACTTTCCTTGGTCCCCACATAAATATGAAAAAAGAACATGGGATTCATGGTCAATAGGAACCATTGACCAACTTTACCCCTACACAAATTCCGAAAAAAGAACACCCCCTTAAAGTTGCCACGACCAGCTGCCCATGGGGGTTCACCCTCATCTGTAGTGGTAACCAACCCAGGCCCATTTGGGCCCATGCGAGTTTTCCTAAAAAGAAAATCCTCTATCTGTTCCCACTTTCCACCACCATCACCAATAATGACACCCCATTATAACCTTTATCTATTATTTCTGGAAGCATTAATTTTAATATTGGTTTTAGTAACAACATTGCTTTTTATGAAAAAGTTCTAATTATTTTTTAGAAAAACTCACGTTTTGAAACATATACTTGCTTTTCATGGAGAAACTTGATTTCTTGTGAGCTTAGATGGCTTCCCACATGAGTTTTCCCCACACCTACCCACAAAGCAATACAGCCGTGCATTAGAAATATCTCCCGTTGAATCAAGGCAAGCAAGTAAGTTTTTGGGTGGTTGAAGCTTAAGCTCGACTCAAAACTTGGAGCTCAAACTCAAGCTTGACTTGATTTGACAATCTTCGAGCTGGGTTGGAATATTTATTAATAAGTCAAACCCGAGTAGCTCACAAGTCAGCTCATCTCACTTGTGCCCTTATTTCTGATGCATCAGCGCTGTACTGTCTTGTGAGTAGGCGTGGGAAACGGTCTAATATCATTGGTCATCAAAAGGAGGCCGCCAAATATTACTCGTTGAGTAGTGGGTTTGGTGGGGAGTCATGGGCCCACCAGGGTCTGGGCCTGCTGGGTTTT